CAACTAGCTTGTTTGCCCATCCAAGGACGAGTGTATATTGCAGTACATCTGAAATATTCAAGATAAAAATTGTTCAGCTCATGATTATTGATGAGGGGGGGGAGTTGCCCCATGTGGAGAGACGTCACCCGCTAATGGTTATTGGGGAGGGGTGCGGCATGTGGAGTGACGTCACCTCCTCATGGTTATTGTGGAGGGGTGCGGCATGTGGAGTGGCGTCACCCCTCATGGTTATTAATGAGGGGAGGGGTGCGGCATGTGGAGTGACGTCACCCCCTCATGGTTATTGTGGAGGGGTGCGGCATGTGGAGTGACGTCACCCCTCATGGTTATTAATGAGGGGAGGGGTGTGGCATGTGGAGTGACGTCACCCCTCATGATTATTAATGAGGGGAGGGGTGCGGCATGTGGAGTGCACGACCTTGTGCGTTAGTATCCATTTCCACGTGGGCATGAATATTAATGAAGGGGGGGGGGGGGGCTCTTTTGCAGTGACGTCACGCACGGATGTAGCACTGTGCTGCGTAGATTTACTTTTTTACCGTCACTTTCTGTAAAGGAACGTCATATTTGAAGCGACTTTGCGTCATAAATTATTTAATTCAGCTCGACCTTCCTCTGCGTTAGTGTAAAAATCCACCCACTCATGAATATTAATGATGGGGGGGTGGGCCTCATGTGGAGTGACGTCACGCGGGGGGGGGGGCGACAAAATAGGTACCGCTTTTGATTTAAAGCTTTCGTGACTGCAGGGATTCATATTCTTGATTCTTTCGTTAAAGTCACGTAGAAGGGAAACAATAAAATAATAAAAATATATATAACAATAATTTTATTATTTTTATTATTATTTTATTGTTTCCCTTCTACGTGACTTTACCGAAAGAACCAAGAATATATATGGAGAGAGCCGACCCGCCCCGACGCAGGAAGGTGGACATTTCCACCACTGGTTGTCGAGACTGTTAAACGGAAGAAGAGTGCTAATAAGTGGTCATATGAGCAGGAAATCATTCTTGACTTTTGAATGTGAATCGTATTACATGGAAAGGCCTCATCATGGCCTGACGACTCTTTATTTACGGAGGGTTCTGTATTTAGATGTTTGGCCAATTATTTTGTTGTTTCATAACACGTCGGAGAGCACGTCAATGAAGGAGATGGAGCGATAGAATTCAGGCCATATGCAGGTGGTGGATGCAGTTCTACATCGTAGAAATATGACAGGTGACGGCGGCTCAGAGGAGGCCTTCATCAGTGGATTGGCCGTGGCCGATGATGAAAACGATGGTGGTGATGAATTATCTTTTACCTGTGTAAGATAACGACGCACGTGAATTCAATTCCGCAGGTCTTTTTAAATGTAATCTGTGTTTTTTTTTGTATGCGGCGTCTGCGTGTTAATGCGTGTAGGTGTGTGTGTGTGCGTGGCGCATTGGTTAGCGCTACGCTGCGCTACGAACCCGGCGACCCGAGTTCAATTCCCGCTCATGGCCACCAACACCGGTGATGGTTATCTGAACCGGTCCTGAGCACTCCCTTAGGTCGACGCAGCCGAAACAATGAGTACCCGGTGCGGTGTGTAAACATCGCCACTGGGGGAGACAAAGGCGGCCGGGCGTGGTGCTGGCCACCCACCCCCTTCGTGCTCCATGCCGGCCTCCCTCGGTGCTCGCTAACAGCACTTGCCCCAACAGTCTGTTAAAGGCTATACGGGGGATCTTTGTCTCCGTGTGTTTGCATCACAGAGGGTGGGGATTGCTTCAAGTCACCCAGAACGTCCACACGGAACGCTCGATTTGCACAAATTCAGAATTTGCGTCCGAGTTGCAAATTGGGATAACCTCCGTGCCATTTCGAGCACGAGCCGCGATTGGTGGGCGGATTGGGACTCCCGTCCGGGATTCAGACGCTCTCCTGACCGCGCTGCGCAGGCCGGAGGATGAATCCCAAGAGTAGTAATAATAATAATAAAAAAAGATAGAATCGCTTTTCAAACCGTGAGGTGCGATTGTGCTCATCCGTACGTCCCGCTACGAGCCGTTCATCGTTAACGAGCCGTTCATCGTTAACGAGGAGCGAGCCGTTCATCTTCATCATTAGACCTCCTTTGCCAGTACCAATTGGTGCTCGACCAGATGACGCAAAAAGGCGTTCATCGTTAACGAGGCCTGCGAAAATTCTCTCCAACGCCCGCGCCTCGCGGGGTTCAGCAAAAACACAGAAAAAGTCAGTCGCTGCAATTAAACTCGCCGAGGATTCGCAGCAATTATCAAGTCTTGTCAGCGGGTGAGCTGATGGGACTGAAGAGGGGAGGCGCGCAGCAATCAATAAAAGCATCGGTCGGCACTCATTACTCGTGCCGGCGCGTAAGTTCCGGTGTGTCTGTTGGAATATTATCTTATTTAAAGGCTCCCTTCATCATCCACTGAGCTATATAGCACAAAATGATTGATAAACGAAGTGTCTCATCATCACATGGACGTTTATAGCAGCCAAATGCTCAAAAACGCCCGACAATTCTAAATGTGGAGGAAAAAACCGGAGGACCGGGAGAAAAATCCACGCGGCCACGGAGAAAGAGAGACGTGCAAACTCCAAATATATAAAGCAGGCGTCAGGGTCGGGATCGAACCCACGGCCTCCTGTATCCCAGGCGAGGGAGTTAACATCTCCTAGCCACCGTGATTAGTGCTCGCGTTCAGCTAAACAACCCTGTATCTACGATGGGTGTTGTAGGTAGCAGGGTTGTGGTGTGTGGCCAGGAGGGTGTCCTTGCCGTGTCCTACATACATAGGTTTCATGAAACAAAGTTGTAATTACATACCCTTGCTTAATTTGTGTTTCAATGATGTACCTTCTAAAAAAAAACTCTGGCAATGTCTCGCACCCCCAGAAAGGGCATCTCGCACCCCCAGGGGGTGGCGTGCACCCCAGGTGAAGAACCACTGGCTTAGACCAAATCGGAAATTCTTTGTTCGATCTCGCCCATTCTCTGAGCTGGGTCCAGCTTTTGCGGGAGTTACGTGGAGGGCGCCAGAGGGAAGTGCAGCGAAAAAAACAACATTCCACCTCCACGTTTCCATGGTCCCTGCCTTTACAAACCCAAATTGACCGGCGTGGTTCAAATACGGTCATGTGACACGTGCGACCCGCACGGCATGGTTGAGGACTTCATCCAGCAGTGGATTGACAAGGGGCAGGGCTGTGCAGACCTAGGGGGTGGGTGGTGGGAGGTTTCAGGTAACACTGCCACTATTTTGTGAGTTCGTCACGGTCAGGAATTGAAAGCCTTGAATTTCAAGGTTTGCCTTAGACGGCAACAACACAGCAACTCCCTTCAACTGACGCAGACGTAATTATGTATTTGTGCGGCTATATATTTATTTCTACAGAATGCTAACGACCCGTATTAAATTGGTTTTAATTAATTTGCTCCTGGCATCAGCATGGGGGGGGGGGGGCATTAACCAAGATGCTGATCTGTGCGCGCTACCGAACGCTGGCGCAGTCCCAGCAGAGTTGTCTAAAAAAAGTCAATTAAGTCCAAAGCAACGGTAAACGGCACACTTCAACATGTACATCAAGCTCTCGGGAATATTATAATGAATTGTAACGACCTTAAAGTCTCATATGAGTAGGTGTTAAAGTCGCCACGGTAGTATCTCCCCCCACCGCCCCTACCCGCCCCTTCCACCTCGCGCCCACATCCCAAGTTTATTTAACGCTTTGAACATTTTACCATCAACTTTGGAACACTGGAAATGAACGCGGCGGGTAAGCATTGTTGCTATAGTTGCCACGTACAGGGACTCCTCTACTCGACTTTCGAACTTTCAGAGATACGAACAAACCTGTCCGTATATCCAGTTGCCTGTTCAGACCGAGAGTCGTAAGTTCCACAGCCGTAGAATCGATTGCGGTGGTGGCATCTACATCTGCAAAACGTGACGAACCATCTACATCTGCAAAACGTGACGAACCAGTCAGTGGCATCTACAGATTATATGAAACGACTTTTAAAGCCATTCCTCATTTTTTTGGAGTAAAGTTGGACTTACGAACAAATCGACTTAACTCGTTCGCGAGTAGAGGAATCCCTGTATTTCACTTTTTTCACTTTTGAAGTACAATCGCAAAGCTGCGGAAAACCGATATTGCAATTGTATCCTCTAGATTGACACTTCCTTTCTTGAGAACTGCTTTTTGTGTTTAGTTGTCCTTCCCCGCATTTTCAATTAGCACGGTTGGCTACGTACGGTGCAAAAGAAGTTGAACATAAAAACGCATATCCTTTATTTAACCAGGAGATAATATAAACCCAATGAGACGCATGAAAACAAAAAAAAAAGTAACCCATTTTGCAAAGGGTCTCCCCTGGGTACAAACTTTGACATGGCGAGACACATCGAAGCTCGCTGAGACGCCCCTACTGGACATCAGCGAAAAGAAGAGAGCTTCAAAGCTAATCGCATTCCTCCGGGGCGGGGCTAAATACAGATTCGGATTCGATCGCGGCAGCACCCGCCCCGCCTGCCCCACCCCGCCCCACCCTATCCGCCCCACCCCACCCCGTCCCACCCCGCCCCACCCCGTCCCGCCATGCCTGCATCAACCCCGCCCCGCCTTGCCCGCCCCGCCTTGCCTGCCCCGCCCCGCCCTGCCCGCCCCGCCCTGTTCGCCCCACCCCACCCCGCTATGTTCGCCCCACGCCACCCCACCCCGCCCCACCCCGCCCCACCCCGCCCCACCCCCGCCCCACCCCGCCCCACCCCGTCCCGCCTTGCCTGCCCCGCCCTGCCCGCCCCGCCCTGCCCTGCCCGCCCCGCCCTGTTCGCCCCACCCCGCCATTCCCACCCCACCCGCCTTGCCCGCCCCACCCGCCTTGCCCGCCCCACCCCACCCGCCTTGCCCGCCCGCCCCACCCCACTATGCTCGCCCCGCCCCGTCTACCGCTCCTGCCCACCGAGACGCGAACGACCCGTGGGAGCGATCCTCACCAGGATCTTGGTGGTGTAGGCGCAGTTGACGGCGATGCCGTTGATGAGGGTTTCCAGCGTGCTGGACGCCACGGAGTCGGGCTCCGGGATCCCGCGGTGGTGCACGTCGCCGATGTACACCTGCACCACCGTCATGCGGTTGGTGGTGAGCGTGCCCGTCTTGTCGGAGCAGATGGCCGTGGCGTTGCCCATCGTCTCGCACGCGTCCAGGTGCCGCACCAGGTTGTTGTCCTTCATCATTTTCTGTCGAAGTGGGGGGGGGGGGGGTGCGCTATTAGTTTATGACGATCGAGAGCAATCGAGAATGCGTAAGGGCAATAGCGTTGTCATTCGATCCTTGAGAGAGAGTAGATGAATATTCTATGGCGTGGGAAAACCACAAAGTGGGATGGTAGCCACAGAACCGGTGCCAACAATTGCCTAAGCTCTGTGCTCCTGCATTAATTATTTGGCCAACTCCGTCATTGCGTGAGCGCCATTAGCGAGGACCTATTAAGGCCGGGACAGCACAGGAGGGGGTGGGTGGCCAGCACCACACCCGGCAGCCTTTGTCTCCCCAATGCTGATGTTTACACACTGCACCAGGTACTCGTTTATGACTGGGTCCACCTAGGGGAGGCCCAAGATCAGTCCGAAAATCGTCACCTGGTGTTGGACGTGAGAGTGAATCGAACTGAGGTTGCCGGGTTCGAAGTGCTACTTGCTAACCTCTGAACTCCCACGCACCACACGTGACACAGACATGTTGGGTCCATGGGCATCACAACCTCTCATGCAAAGGTCACAGTTGAAGCCCAATGACATTCGGCTCAGTTAGAATATGTAATAAAGTTTACAAAGGGATGGCCATCGATTTCAGTGCCGTAAGTAAAAGCCCTCGAGGGAAAAGGTAATGCAGTCTAATCAATACGCAATCGCAGGTCCAGCAGGTACACAGGCTTCAAAGCAACTCTGACCACACCAGCAATCACGCTGTGGGGTGTGACTGCTACAGGCCCATCAGAGTGCACAGCAGGACATTCGACAGCGATGGGGACACCGATGGACTCCCCAAGCAAAGTTACATTTTTACAACGCGCAAACCCGTGTGCAGAATTGCACGTGCAAAAAGCTCCTGGGGCCTTGCCCGGATCGCCAGCTCGAAATAAGTGAAGGCGGGGTGAGCGATCGTTTTGTCGTTGTTGAGACCACACCGACTGGGAAGAACTGAGAAAACATGGGCACATCCTCACAAGAAGTGGTGAAACATGGACACATCCTCACAAGAAGTGGTGAAACATGAACACATCCTCACAAGAAGTGATGAAACATGGACACATCCTCACAAGAAGTGGTGAAACATGGACACATCCTCACAAGAAGTGGTGAAACATGAACACATCCTCACAAGAAGTGGTGAAACATGGACACATCCTCACAAGAAGTGGTGAAACATGGACACATCCTCACAAGAAGTGGTGAAACATGGACACATCCTCACAAGAAGTGGTGAAACATGGAAACATCCTCACAAGAAGTGATGAAACATGGACACATCCTCACAAGAAGTGGTGAAACATGGACACATCCTCACAAGAAGTGGTGAAACATGGACGCATCCTCACAAGAAGTGGTGAAACATGGACACATCCTCACAAGAAGTGATGCAACATGGACACATCCTCACAAGAAGTGGTGAAACATGGACACATCCTCAAAAGAAGTGGTGAAACATTGACACATCCTCACAAGAAGTGATGAAACATGGACACATCCTCACAAGAAGTGGTGAAACATGGACACATCCTCACAAGAAGTGATGAAACATGGACACATCCTCACAAGAAGTGGTGAAACATTGACACATCCTCACAAGAAGTGGTGAAACATTGACACATCCTCACAACAAGTGATGAAACATGGACACATCCTCACAAGAAGTGGTGAAACATGCACACATCCTCACAAGAAGTGATGAAACATGGACACAACTGTTGGTCGCTTTCATCATCCCCACCATCGCAATAGTGGAGTCATCACTCTCGCACCTCCTAATTAGCACGGTTGGCTACGTATGGTGCGAACAAATAAGTACACGCTGTGCTTACACAATAATGGTCCTTTACAAATCCCATTGTGCCGTTGACCAACGCGCTCAGAATTCATCCAAACTCATCGGATTTCGGAAGCTCGGCAGAATTAAGCCTCTGACGGTCATTCGCTGGGCGACCACCGTGGATGACGGGCTATAGACTGTGGAGGTTTGTGCGGTGGTGGACAGCGGAGGCGTAGTGGTTAGCGTGCTACGAACTGGCGACCCGAGTTCGATTCCTGCTCACGGCCAGCAGCAGTGACGATTATCTGAATCGGTTCTGTGCTCTCCCCTAGGTCGACCCAGCCTCAAATGAGTACCTGGTGTGGTGTGTAAAGATCGCCAATGGGGAACCAAAGCGGCCGGGCGTGGTGCTGGCCACCCACTCCCTTGTGTGCCGTGCCGGCCTTCATAGGTCCACACGTGTGTGCGGGTGCACACACACGCACAAACACTCCCAGCGCGAGAGTCACTCATTATATCTCGCGGAGGATCACTGCTTAACAAAATAGGTCCACCGTTCTGTTTGCCAGTAGGAGTTCGCGTTTTAAGTCAATGTAAAAAAATATATATAATGGAAGCTGGTTTGTAAGTACGGGTGTTCGTAAGTCGGATGTTAGTAAGTCGGGTGTTCGTAAGTTGGGTGTGTTCGTAAGTCGGGTGTTCCTAAGTCTAGAACTCCACGTACATATGGACCCGGGATCCGCCGCTGTTGCACGCACGCGGCACGCACACGGCACGCGCGCACGAACCTTCACGGAGTAGGCGAGCGAGATGGTGACGGCCAGAGGGAGTCCCTCTGGCACGGCCACGACAAGCACGGTGACGCCGATGATGAAGAACTTTACGAAGTACTGAACGTAGACCGGCGTGCACTCGGCCAGCCAGGGCCGGCCCTCCACCCAGAACGTCTGGATGACGAAGTAGAGAATGAGGATGAGGACCGTGATGGAGGACATGACCAGGCCTGTGTGTGGACAGACGGGGTTGGGGGGGAGGGGGTTAGGGGACACGGGTAGAGAAGGGTGGAGAGACCGTGTGAGGGTAAGAGCAAAACAGAGAGCTAGCAGGCGCGCGTGCATGAATGTAGGAGGAAGGTATAGACCTTGAGGGCACAAAGAGAGACAGAGCCAGGTGCCGAGAGGTTATTGAAGGTGAACACAACAGACGGCCGGTATCTGTGTGGGCGATCAACAATGTCAGGAACTTCCTTCCCCCAGTCATCTGAGCTGTCGACTCCCTACCACCCGTTCAATAACAAGTTCAAGACCTTGTACTATCCCTTTGCCTATAAGTGTCTCTTTCTCTTCTATAATGTGATATCAATATTCCTACGTTATACAGGATGCATGTTTAACGCGTAGGCTTTTGCGACCAATATTATCCAAAATAGAGGTTTTTCTGGGTTAGATCGCGTAAATATAAACATGTTGTTAAACCTTGCCACCACCCGACACAGCCAATTCATGAGGTTTGTCGTGTAAACAAAACATATCTATTTGTTACTTGTACAGCACACCGGTGTGTTGGAGAGTAAACCCACAACGTTTACAATTCGAGAATAACGTTTAGCAGCTATTTACAACCAGCCTCATCAGGCGACACCCAGAGTTGTGGATAAATCATTTTTGGTCTTAGAGGGGATAGATACGATGACGTCACTCGTGAGCCAATCAGGTGCTAAGACCAGAGGGAGGGGGGAATATGATGACGTCACTTGTGAGGCAATCAGGTGCAAAGACCGGGGGAGGAGGGAAGGGTGTTAATGCATTCATATAAATTACAATGGGAACTATTTTTGATTGGGTTATTCACAGTTAATAAATATAAATAATGTACGTACATCACGTGCATTCAGATTATGCATGCGCATTATGTATGTACATTATGTCTGTACATTCTGCCGTTTTGGGATGCAAAAATGGCGATACCTGTTATTGGCTGCTCGCAGTGAATCACCATCGACGTATGGTGACCTGTTACAGCGTTTGTAAACACTGTATGTGGGTTGTATTTAGACTCAACATGAATCCAGTAGGTATGGTTCCATAGACGTCACCATCTGCGAGAATTGCACAGTGCTCAACATGTCATTATTTTTTGTTGGGTGCAAAATATCTCCGCTTCGAAAAAAAGTTTCCTTCCACGCCTTCGAATTCATCTCGTTTGAGGCGACCCGCGCCGAGTCTCCTCCCTGCTCGGGTAAGCGTCGGGAGATGGTTGCCCCCCCCTGTCCGTGGTCCTGAACCGGTGGGGAGATGTCCATGATCCTGATGAATGGGCTCGGCAACCACTCAAGGTGGAAAGCTTCTTGACTCGCTCCAAAAGTGGTGCTCGTTTTTAACGACCAACGGAAGAGTGATCGTGCGAGTTGTGACCCCCGCCCCACCCCCGCCTGGGATTTGAACTCGCAACCATCCAACCGTGAGGCTTTAATTTGGCAAAGGTCAAACCCATTGCGAAATAAAATGCTCATGTTCCATGGGGACTTGGTTGCATCGTAGAAACCTGGTCACTACAGCAACAAAACATAGGCGATCCTAAAAGTGGTTCATTTACGAATGGCAAGGTCATGCATCAAGGATGGTATAACTAATACAAAAAAATACAAGGCTAATAGAATGCCAATTTAACACGAAGGCTTTAAAGCGCATCGCATACAAAATCAATAACTCAAATTCTGCAAAGCAGAGCAATCGATTGCACAACTTGAACATTAATATGAGGGCCAAAAGTTATTTTAAAGTAGGACGAGCATAGTAAGGTTTTTATCCAAAACATATATGGGACCACGTGGTCAGATAAGTGGCCACTGTCACTGCTCTCTGCCATATGAATGTGCAATTGCCACCATCGGTTAGGGGCCACCGGTGAACGGCGCCAGGCACCACCCCACGCACGTTTTACACTTTGACACTTTTAATCCTTCCCACCTTCGCATCATCTGCCAACGGGTTGCCCTGCCGGCTGCTGCGCATCACAAGGCCTGAGGGGCTCCCTGCTTCCCCCCTCACCCGCAGGTTACTCACCGGCTTTCCCGATCTGCACCGCGAGCTTGGTGAGCTTCCCTTGCAGCACCGACTTCTCCTTCTTGGACACGTTGGGCTTCTTTTTGACCTCCTTGTTCTCGTCGCCGCCGTCGGCGGGCGACGTCCCGCAGCCGACGCCTCCCTCGCCGCCGACCCCGCCGCCCGTGGCGGCTGGCACCGGGGATGAGGGCGCTGCCCCGACCCCAACGCCGCCGATGCCGCCGCCACCACCACCGGCAGCCGTGCCACCTCCAACCACCATCACCTCCGGAGTCTTCAGCGGTTGCATTTCCATGGCCGCTCCACCTGAGGCTTTAACTAGGAGAAGGGAGGCAGCAAGCACAAGTTGAGGACATTACATTGCAGTTTTCATCAGATCCAACTAACATGGTTGTCATTGGTAAGGATGTTTGCCGTGTGGCGCCAAGGTTAGCACACTGGACTTGCAATCCAGAAGCCATCGGTCCGATGCCATCTCTTGGCATGGCAGTGGAAACAATGGGGCAAGGTTATGTATATCGCCACACCACAATTCGTTTGGCAGGTCCCGTGTGGTGGGGTAAAGTGTGGGTTCTCGCACATCTTCCAAGATGTCTGGTGGGCGTGGAAGAGGAGGCAAATTACCTTCTAGAGGGGTTATTTTTTAGTTCATTCTACGAGAGGCCCCTTCTGCGAGGAGCAGCATGAGCAGCATGAGCAAGTGATTGCAGGGCTGCACCATCACCCAGAGCTCGAATTATTCGGCAGTTTGAGCTACGCCCATGAATCCACACCGACGCAGACTTGGCATTGAGAACGTTTCACGAGGCTCGCCTCTCTGAAACCTCCACGTGCAGGCCACGCCGTTGCTGGCGACGGAGAGAAAGCGGCGGTCGCCATTGCCCCGAGTGCGATCGTCTCGGACGCTTCTGCTGCGTAGGCTTTCGCGGTCGTGCTGTCGCCGCTGCTGCTACTGCAACTCTGACGTGCTTGTGGGCTTTGCCCCGCGTCGTTCGGAACGACGCCAGACGTTTCGCTCGCGCCCTTGCTGGAAGAGCCTCTCGGGGAACGATTCGCGGTTCCCACTGTCCTGAAGAAGCTTTCCGGCACTCGGAGCGAAACGTCGGACATATTGCGCCCAACGGCTTCGCTGTTCAACCTGGAAAACGCTGCAGAGAGCTGGACGTATTTTGTTGTGTGTGTTTGCGTAGTTTTATGAACTGATTAACTGAGCTCAAGGTGCATGTTTATCATAATTCCTTCATAGTGGATAATACTCTCATAGATGCCCTGTCTACTCAGAATTTATGGCAAAGGAAGACGCAACCCAAAATAAAACAGATATTATTTTCTCACCAATTCAGGCGCGACAAAAAATAAAATACATTCACAATTACAATTTCGATTTAAATGCAACCATATATCAAGACGCCCTACAAAATACTGGCCCATGTGTTTTATTTGGAAAGGTCAGGTGTTTAAGATAATGTTCATGTATTCATCATCGGTGAAAGGGAACGGAGAAGTGGGTGGGGGAGGGAGTCCACAGCACGGATGGCTGGGGGGAGCGGGAGGATGAGTGAACAATTCCAGACTACATGAGCAGCAGATGAGATGGAGCGACCTCCCACAACGCGAAGGTTGACCTTGGGGATTTAAAAGGAGACCTTGGCGGAGAAAGGGGGAGAGGACACGAAGTTGACAAATGCTGCGAGATGAGCGGTGGGTGGGGGTGGCGAAATCCGTGGAGGATTTTGAAGATGGCAAAGGCATTTTTGTAATTGATCTTAGTCACTGCATTGGGAGCCAGTGGAGGGGAGAGAGAAAAGAGAGAGTCTGTTGGAGTGATGTGGCCTCGTTTTACTCGCGAGCGAGGAGTCTGGCAACTGGATCCTCAACAGTGTCTGAGCAATCGGAGGTGGGGGGGGGGAGTGGAAATGCGGCTAAAAAAGTCAACCGCATTACGCGCTTGACGTTTTTTTGGGTCCTTCAGACCTCCGGGAAGAGTCGAGAGAGACACACTCAGCGGCCCGCAGAACCGGTGAAGAAATGCGTCTTGCTGCTCCATCACCGAGACGCAACCGCGCCAAACGACGAGATGTCGCAGCACAGCTTGCTTACGATGTGCGTCCTGGGCTGACGTGACTCGAAAGCTTAGTGAGAAGATGCTCACAAATCTGGCTGTCGCCTGATGAAGCTGGTTGTAATTACTGGCGAAACGTCGTACTCAGATTGTAAATGTCGTAGCTTGGCTCTCCAACACACCGGTGTGCTGTACTCGTAACGAATTAGCACGTTCTGTTTACGTGATAAACCTTACTAATTGGCTGTGTCGGGCGGTGGCGGCTTTATCCACACATATTTAGGCGATCTAAGCCAAAAAAAAACCTGTGTTATGGAGAAGATGCTTATCGCTGCTGTTGTTGTCGTGAAAATGTGACTTTCAGATGCACACTGCCTTGGTGCCCTGTATAGCAGTTTGACTTGAACGTGACCACACGAGCACAATGCGATCATCATCAGCCACGATCTATTCACTGCTGGGTCAACTCAGACCCCAAGCCCTCGTATCTCACAGCCTCGTGAAGCAGGCTATCCCATATAGCTCCTTCACACGATCCGATTCCATCGCTCCATCTCCATGCTGCGCGTCCTCTCGGGCGTCGCGTTCCCACCTTTGCCTGCCCACTCCATCGTTAGCCTCCACCATCCCTTCAGACGACGTCTCCTTACCTAGCCCACTTCCTTTATAACTGCTTGCTGGTCACGTACGGTGCAAAAGAAGTTCAACATACGTACTGGGCTCCCATTTTCTACGTACGCTCACGATGGGCTACCCTCACCACCTTCAACTACCATCATCAGCCAGCGTGGTGAAATACGGTCAAGCAAGCCCCGTGACCCGCGCACGGCATGGGGAAAGCCCTTATCCAGCAGTGGACTGGCACAGTGCCGTGCGTGTAATTGCTTTGGCGGGACTGTGGGTGTGCCGTGGTCGATTTGATAGGGCAATAAAATATACTTTTATAGCAGGGGCGGTATGAACGTTTACTTATGTGCCAACATCGTAAATAAACCTTTCGGGTCATACATTTTTACAAACTGCATTTTACTGTGCTTTCAGGTAAAATGTAAAAAATAACGATTATAGTTTCAAATGGAATGACATTACGAACCATGTCTAATCATTCTAGTTAAATGTATGAGCAGTTTTTTTTTCCTAATATCATGAATTAAGAATTTTTACAACTTCGCAAGAAAATTAGTTTATACTGAAAGCATTGACATTGAATCCAGGCTCGTAAAGCGCTGAACGCATTACTGTAACCAGACTACCAAAGGATTACCTGTGATCCTGTATTTTTACCTTATTACTGACGTAATAAGTAATATATTACTGTGAACTATTATTTGCTAGATGAATACTCTTCATGTTTGCTTTTGTATTATATGTTTTTTATTCCAAAACAATTCCTCGACAAGTCGGGGGGAAAATAATGGTGTCATTTTCCCAACGCGGATTATTCCACGACCAAGGCTTCTCATTTTGTATGCAGCCGGGCAGTGGTGGTGCATGCCTTTTATCCAGCACTGGAGGAAGCAAGGGTTGGTGGATCGCACAAATGTTGTGAAACTCCCCTTTCCCTTGAGTCTCGAGGTGCCATAACCTGGCTCGCCAGGAGAAGGCAGGACAGCGAGTCGACTCATCGCCATCTGTTTCCATCTGTATGGGGGATCGAGAATTGCCCCCCCCCCCCCCCCCCCATGCGCAAGGCGTGGGGTTTTCTCCGGACGCTCCGGTTTCCTCCCACGTGATACAATAAACATAGTTCCATTTATTTGGTATAGCCCTGTGAGCCATTCGGCTCTTGAATCGGGTGCAACCGCAACAAACAAAAACATGAACAAGAAAACATCTTAAAGTGACTATGTGACTGTGCAAACAGAAAATCCAGGAAAAAAACAGCAAAATATTCCTCAAATAGCACCGTACACCAACGCTGTGTGCAAAAATCCCAGTGGGATGCAAGTCAAACAACAACAACCACCCAGACAACTAAGATTAAGGCCATCAGTCTGACTCCGTACTACAATCAACAAAAACATGGCCAAATCAAAAAACTTTACGAAATCACCAAAATAAAGCCATAAATGCAATGTAACAGTGATCATAGGGACTGTGACTGAATTTTTAACATAGCTCATCATTCATTGCCAAGGACAACATCTTGACACATAAAAACCCAGGACCCTCCTGAAGAAGAGTCCTTCGGCTCGGTGTGGCTTTCATGGATAAAATAAATTACAGGTAGTGAGACAGCCTACAATCGTAGCACCGTGCCGCTATTCTGGAGGCTAGATCGATCAAAAATGTTTCATTTCATTACGTTAACTTTACCCCCCGTCATGAGAATATGGAATTGCCACCAAAATTGATATTTTAGCCGATGGGGCACTTTGAGATTGTTTCGTAAAAGTGTTGTGAATTTTAAAATATCACGTGCACTTAAATTATATTTAATTGCACGTATTTAAAATGATATTCAACTGCACGTAATTTGTAATCGGAGACTATTTATAAGTAAGCCTAACCCCCATTGCCGGGGAGTTTAACCTATGTTTCCGAGGTTGCCGGCTCATTGCTGGAAGTGAAGATCGGACAAACCCTGCTTTTGAATGTAGCGTTACTTTCCAATACCCTGCACAAGTATTATTATTATTATAACCTCGATATATAAAGTGGCAGTCGTTTACAGAAATATAACACAACTTTTTTATATTCTTGGTTCTTTAAATCAAAATACAACTTAATTTGTTTCTGGTTTATATATACTGTACTGTATATATATTTTTCCTCATTACCTTTGTCAGTCTCCACAGTTGCGTCTTGGTTTTTTCCTGAAGGCATACAAATGCATTTTACACAACAACAAAAGGAATGGGTTTTAAACGGAAAAGAAGGACCGTGACTCCGATGGTGGTTGAAACAGAGTTAGAAGACGCACGCGCGAGAACATCTGAATATTTTTCGATGCGTTATGCGACCTTTAGCAATGACTGATATGAATTACCCAGACATAGCAGGCTGCAAAATGCAACACAGTGATACATGCCGCCTGGGACCCAATGCAAAAATTACAGTAATATTATTGGAGCACCCCCTTGCACTCAACGGGCGATGCTAATATTTACATTTAATGGTCACCGTGTTAGATTGTGCATTGTAATGTGGTCAATGATTTCGTGTGAATATTACACGGCACTGTGTGTGTATATACATTAACCTATGTATATACATACACACAGGGGAGTGGTCGTGTAGCGGTTAGCGTGCTGCGCTACGAACCTGGAGACCCAGGTACGATTAACGCTCACGGTCAACACCGGTGACGATTATCTCAACCGGTCCTGGGCCTCCCCTAGGTCGACTCAGCTTCAAACGAGTACTTGGTGTGATGTGTGAGCATCGCCACGAGGGAGAGAAAGGTGGCCAGGTGTGGTGTTGGCCACACACCCCCTCGTGTGCCGTGCCGGCCTTCATAAGTGCTCGTTAACAGCACTTACCCTAACAGTCTGTTAAGGCTATATGCACTGCTGCAGGTGAGATATAAGTGTGCTTAAGTAATGAGTATGTCAGTTTAACACGTAGGCTTTCGCGACCAATATCGTCCATTATAGAGGTTTTGTGCAAAACTAGCTTCTACTGGCCAAGAAATCTAAATAACTTTAACCGCTCAGATCGTTACCGCCTTATTGCTGCGTGGAAGCGAATCACAAAATAAAACATTATTTAAATACATGCCGACAAAGGCAGCGTACTTCAATAGGGATTACCGTTGGTAGGGCTATTTGAATAAACACAATAGACAGGAAGGACAAGTTTAAAGCGCATAATGCACATGCATAATGTACGTTGCCTCAGTAATGCCCTCCCCCCCCCCCCCAATTGTGCAAGATCGCAGAAGGGTGGTCGACATATCTACGCCTCTATATAAGGAACGAAACAGTAAGACTTTTCCACAAATCTGGCTGTCGCCTGATGAAGCTAGTTGTAATTACTGGCGAAACGTCGTACTCTGATTGTAAATGTTGTGGCTTGGCTCTCCAACACACCGGTGTGCTGTACTAGTGACGAATTAGCCACGTTCTGTTTACGTGACAAACCTTACGAGTTGGCTTTGTCGGGTGGTGGCGGGTTTTAACGACACATTTAGATATTTACGCGATATAACCCCAACAACCTCTATTATTTATGAGTGTGTGTATTTAATGTGCATTTTTGTGTGTCTGCGAAGGCTGCACAATAGGTGATCTGTATTTAGTAGTTTGGACGTGATGGCCTATCATTGTGGTTAGAACACTGCACTACGACCTCGTGACCTGGTTTTGATTCCTGACCATGGTAGAAAATGGTATCCGTGTGTACCTGCTCTGGGCGACCTCTAGGTCAACTCAGCCCCAAGTAGCTGTCGGACCAGGTATAATGGCAATATCATGAACATTAGACAGAAAACCGTGGATGGGCACGTGTGTGTGTGTGTGTGGTGTTGGCTGCACTGCTATGGTGAGCGGCAATCTAACGGTTAGCGCGCTGCGCTATGAACCCGGCGACCCAGGTTCAATTCCTGCTTCCTGCTCACGACCAACACCAGTGACAAATATCTGAACCAGTTCTGGGCCTCCCCTAGATCGACTCAATCTCACATGAGTACCTGGTGCGATGTGTAAATATCGTCACTAGGGAGACAAAGGCGGCCGGGCGTGGTGCTGGCTACCCACCCCCTCGTGTGCCGTGCCAGCCTTCATAGGTGCTGCTCGCTAACAGCACTTGCTCCTGCAGTCTAAGGCTATACGGGGGATCTTTGTTTGGCTGCACTATCTCCTTTGTGCTGTAATTGCCTTAATAGGTGCTCACCAACAGCACATGCACGGATATTTTATAAGGCCAGACATTTACAATTTATATGAGATACATTATTTATAATGGAGCTAAACTGGTATACGAAAAAAACCCTTTAATGCTATGTTGAATTGACCCAGACAATTTATAATTAGGCTGGAATTCCATAAATAACCAAGCAGGAATTTACCATACATAATTGAAATGGCCAAATATTTGTACATAAGACATTTTTACGTATCATCGATAGGGGGAAATTACTAAATATGAATACACTTAAAAAAATATATTGAGATTTTTAAGAGCAGCACAACAATTCAACAATTAGTGCAATACATTTCATTTTGATAGCTCAAGGATAAGCAGGATAATATAGATTTCCAAGCAGTGTTCATTTGGCCAGCATCTTTTTTCATTGCATTTTAGTCAAGAGTCCTAGTCACTGGCGTGGTAGTCAAGTCTGTGGCTGTGGATTTCACGTTTCATGTCGTCATTCTCTCTCGATCTCGCCCACTCGAGCAGTCAAACGCTGCACTGCCCCTTGTTGTTAAACGTTGGCGAGAACCACGTGTAAGTTTCACCCCCCCCACGCTCCCCTAATATTTTCACGTCGACCGATCCATTAACTCGGTGAATCTCTTCCTATGCAGTTCCAACCAATCACCACGCTTGTTTTTTTTTTCTTGGCGCATTGCAGGGGTGCCACGGTGGCTCGAAGATGTTAACTACCTCGCCTGGTATACAGGAGGTCGTGGGTTCGATCCCGACCCTGACACCTGCTGTATATTTGCAGTTTGCGTGTTCTCCATGTGGTCACGTGCATATTCCTCCACATTTAGAATCAACATGCTTTTTGAGTATTTGGCTGCAATACATTTCCACGTGATAAGCCACTTCGTTGAGCTATCATTTGTGGAAATAAAACTATATCGCTCAGTGGGCCCTACCTGATAAAATAAAATAAAAAGTTTGGTTTAGCTTGGCTCTAAGAGGGCTTGTGGATTTGTCTCTGCCTGCATCGTTAAATTCGGCTCATCGTGGCCACGCTTGGATTGACAGTGGGCGGTCGTGGTCATCGTCATTGCGTTTCGTGCACTCCGTCGTCATGGTTGAAATAAATAAGAATCGACCTTTCGACAAATATGTTTGTCACTAGTTTCATTCACATAATTACCAATGTTCAAATTTTTACGAAGAAGGCCTCCATGACCGATATTATTATTTGGTAATTGATTTTTGTTGGGTTGGGTCGCGTAAATAAAACTTTGTCGTGCACCCTTCTCCACCTGACACGGCCAATGAATAAAGTTGTCACGTGATGAACAAACTTGCCAGTTTACAGCTGCTTCAGTAACACCACCGGTGTGTGTTGGAAAGAAATCTCACAACATTGAAATGGGTACGCCATTTCGCTGACAGTTACATCAAGCATCATCGGGCAGTTTCTAGAGTGATGTCGTCATTTACATCATCGGCAGTTACTTGTTTTTATATGATTGTAATTCCAGCACGGTGAATCACGAATCTACGTGTCACACGTTCAACACGACACCTTGGATTTAAGCGAAGCGGGAGTGGAATTTCCGGGGAAGACATTCAGAGTTGGCAAAGTTTGGCAGAGTTTATAAAGCCTGGGCCTTTCCAGCAATAAGACGTCAACGCAGGATCAAGAATGAGGGAAGTCGGACTGCGAATAATGCCGACAGAGAAGTAGACAAGAGCGAAGCAGATTTTACCAAGTTGTGCACTACTCTACGCCACAGATCCCGGCGAATTAACAAAACCATGACAACTCCACTGAAATTGTCCCCTTCTAATAACTTATTTACCCAGGAGAGCATCGGGCAGAGGGAGGCCGAATGCACATTTTCAGGACGGTCCTGAATTGGGATGTTGGGCCAATTGCATGTTGTTGAGTGTGTTTGCATGTGGGCTGACATTGCAGCACTAAGGGCACGAAGAGATGAAGTTTGTGTGTACCACTCCATGGGAAGTCAACAGTGGTCATCCTATTGATAAACTAGCCCCTCATGGGAATGATGATATGAGTGCCATCTCATTTGCCCATTAGAACAGGGAAACTCCGATTGATTGTCATACACACTTCCCCAGTGAAACTCACTCATCACGTGTCGTTGCTTCAAGGCAATGAGACAAAACTCCCATTGTTATAGTGGCACGCGTGTGCACGTTGTATCCTGTTCTGAAGTTCACGAATTACTGGTTGGTATTTACATCGTGGGCTCATCCTTTATTTCCCAGACCCGGATTCACTTTTGAGGAAAAAAAATCAACTTTGATTTATGTATTGCGCTGCCAGCAATAATGGGTTGAGATGATCCAATTGCCATACTTGGGAACTCTGTTCAAGGGCAGCTGAAGCTCCTGATCGGAACCGCGAATTCGTCAGTGCTGGCTCTATTTTAGCTCAGACACGGCCAAATTATGAGCCTCCTTGTGCAGCTCGGCGAACTCGGGAAGGCACGAGGGAGTTCAAGTGGCCCAGGGTGGAGTGCGGTCCCTGTGGCGATTTTCAACGGAGTTGGCATTAATTTCGCCGGGGAGAGGGGCGGGACGGCGGTGGCACATACCGTTGGAGACACCCGGGTTTGGGTTCGCGGCAGAATTAGCGTGGCCCCGGGCACGAGGCCGGGGGCCTGGAACGTGGGCCGCTGGGGACGAAACCCCGGGGGGCTGGCCCTCCTGCACACCTGCTGGCTTTCCTGAGTGCAGTGCAGTCAGTGGCGTTGGCGGTTTGGGACGGAGGTGGCGCGAAAGGTTGTGAAGGCGACGGAGGTGATGATAGATGTGGTGATAGATTTTTGAATTCACGTGGTGGTGGATTTGAGAATGCAGGTAGTGGTGGTTGTAGTGGTAATGGTGAAGTTAATGAGTGGCGGCGGTGGTGGTGATATAAATGAGGCAGGTGTGGTGGAGGTCGTGGATGTGCGAACGCAGGGTGGTGGTGGTGGAAGTTATGGAGGTGGTGAAGGTGGGGTAAGTGGGAATATAAGTGGTGAAAAATAGGTGCGAATGGGAGTGGTGTAAATAAAGATGGCATTTGAGATGGTTGTTATAGCGGTGAAGGTGATGGTATTCAGCATAGAGTTGGTGGTGGTGGTGAGAAAATCCAATCAGTTGTTGGTTGTGAGTATTGTGGTCATAGTGGTAGGCGTTGGTAATGATGTAGCGGTTATGATTTTTATATTAATTATTGTTGCGTAGTTGATGATGATGATGATGGAACAGTGGCCACAATGATACGAAAAAGGTGGTGGTAGTGGTGAAGATGTTATTGAAAAATATGATGCGAGTCAAAGTATAACATGAGCATATGCATAATTTTAACGACATGCAGTAACTTAAACTTGATAGCAACCAAACATTCCACCCCTAGTTAAAGACAAATCACGCACACAATATTTTAATAAAAGTAACACGATGACACGGACAAATGTGAACGAGTCCAAGAGGCAAAGGGGAACCCTCGGCAGCCAAACGGTGGCCATGACGAGACTGAAGCGGCCTAACGTGCCCGGATATCAGGTGCACAACAACAGCTGAGAGATCTAGCAGAAGGAAGGCAGCAATGGCGATGGATAGGGGTACCACAAATGTTGGCCCTGATGACCTCTTGACCTTCACCTCGTGTACGTATGTTGAACTTCTTTTGCACCGTACGTAGCCAAACGTGCCACTTTGAACGAAAAATATAATATAGGTCTTCTTATGCGCAATAATATTCTCCCCGACCACCCTGATCTACCTGCAAATTCCTCACCTGCAGAATAGAATACCTCTTTCAGCTACATTACAGATCAGAGGTGCCACCTTAAAGTGGTTGAATATTCATCCTGTTATCGGGTTGTCCACGGCACACCAATGACGCTGCTGCTGCAGCTGCTCCTGGCAACTCCTGTTGTCTGTGGAAATTTCACTGATAGGAGGAGAGTCGTGCGGCAGATTCCTCTGATAATAACCGCATTAATCTACATTTGAACTTGCTGTCTTCTGAATCTAGCATGCTCATCGTGCTGCTACCGAACCTAGATTGTTGTTATTACTGGTGCAATTGCATGATATATATTTGTATTTTATCAGAGTACAAATTTCTAATTTATATAAAAAAGTATACATTAATATTAAACTGTTACATTTTCACGGAATTTATATGATGTATCTTGAACTCCATTTATCTGACATGCACAGGCCAATCACCTCTTTGAGATCATCGCACCCAATCCTGATATTGAAAATGGCAAAAGAGCTTCTGAGGATTTCCATGAAGACAGTGTGGAACTTCGCGGATTGCCTGGCAGGCCTGGCCCTTAACAGAGAGAAGCAGTGCACTGAAAACATGTGCTGTAATAGGGGCTCTGGGATCATGGCCTGAGCCCCACTGCTGAGCTTCTCGCCTGCGATGGACGGATTCCGAGCGTGAGTATCTGCGACCGAGATGCACGGCGCCCGCCACCAAAAAACGAGAAAGCGATTCCCTCGCCCGTGACCTTCAGATGCCCTACACTGCCGAGATGGCTGACAGCGACGTGTGGTTAGTGTGAGAGTGGTGGTTGTGGGGAGCGGTGGCGTAGCAGCAGTTAGCTCGCTGCGCTACGAACCCGGTGGCCCGAGTTCGTCCCCGCTCACGGCCAACACCAGTGACGATTATCTGAACCGGTCCTGGGCCTCCCCTAGGTCGACTCGACCTAAAATGAGTACCTGGTGTGACGTGTAAATATCGCCACCAAGCAGACAAAGGCGGTCGGGGCCTGGTTCTGGCCACCCACTCCCTCGTGTGCCATTCCGGCCTATCATAGGTGCTGTCTGACAGCACTTGCCCCAACAGTCTATTCGGGGTATATGGGGGGATCTTTGTCTTTTATGATGCTGCGTCACTAGTTTTGAGAGCATCGTTGCCAATGGCCCCATAGACTCGAAGTTGAGAAGGACGTGGGTTTAAATCCCGGTCAAGGGTTGATTCAGCCCATCATCGTCATCATCCGTCGTCATCTCGAACCTCCGATTAACTTCGTACAGTGTGAAAGACGGTCGATATACATCATCATGCCTGCTGATCATGATGATGATGATAGCCATGGATAAATTTCGATTTAAAGCTTTCGTGACTGCAATGATTCATCTTCTTTGGTTCTTTCGGTAAAGTCACGTAGAATGAGAATAAAATAATACATTGATAAAATAAAATAACACAATAATATTCTCACGACGTTTCGGCCGCTTGTGTTGTGGCCGAAACGTCGTGAGAATATTATTGTGTTATTTTATCAATTTATTATTTTATTCTCATTCTAGCCATGGATAACATCGGTGGCGAGTGACATCTGAACTGGTCCTGGGGCACCCTCCAACCCTTCACCAACCGGCACGGGATCAGCATGGTGAAGTACGGACAAACAACCCCCATGACCAACACGATGTCGGTAGGTCATTTATCCAATAGTGGATCGATAAAAGAACGAAAATGGAAACCATTAAGGCACCCAAGTACTTGGGATTACTCTGATGATAAAGTGCCAAATTCTGGTATGTGCATAGAAAAATAGTAATCAAGTGATTTCTAACCAATGAGCATCGAGGTAGTTCTCATCACTTATTTAGAGCCCTGAGTCAGTGGTAGAAATTACATGTTCCTGTGGCAGAGATGAGTCCATCCATCTACTACTATATCATGGTTCCTTTTTTTTTTACCAGTATCAAAGTATGAAATATAACAATAGGTTTTACCCGAACTGGCAATACACAGATATTTTATTACATATTAAGTTGTATCCATCTACGTTGACTTCTGCACAAAGTTGTACCTATTTTATCGACCATCCCCCCCACCCTGAAGAGATGATGGACTGCGTCAAGCCCCCCCCGCCCCACCCTCCCCAAAACAGGATTTGATCTCACCACCTTGGGATTTGCGAGCCACTCGTCCCCCTCAAGCTCCTGGCAAGTTGTATACTCAAACAGCCACGAGTAATCGGCAATTTGAGACTGGTGATGTATCAAAACATACCCCTTCTCAGCACCCCCCTATAGATATAAAATGTTGTGTCACTTACCCATTCGGTTGTTAGGTGTAAGATGCCGCTTGTTGGCATTGTTTATCAAGGCACGAGGGAGCTGGTGTAATTCGCATTAACGGATTTCTAATTTGCACTCATTTACACTTCTGTTTCGAAAATAAGGAGCCAGGGACCCTGGTATCATTGTTTCCACAATTAGTATAAACGGCGACAGATCGCGGCTCGCAAATTGTTTTCTCCTGCCTTTGTTTATTTACCCATCTAATACATTTTTGGCCGATTTCAAAACAAGCGATCACCCCGAGGAGCGAAGTAAAAGCCATCGATGCCACACAAGCAACTTCTGGACCGGTCGTCACATCCAGCGTCTCATCGGCAGAGAGAGAATTGCTTCGACCGCCGCTGGTGAACTCCCAGGTGCTGAAGGCAAGGGCCCTCTCTTTAAGATGGTGGTTCCTAGCTCACCGAAGATGTTGAAATACAAAGCTCAGAATAATCACGAGCGTCGCTCTGCAGAATGTAACAATACAACTTTCCACTTGTAAAACGCATCGCAGAATGTGACAACAATCGCAGAATGCAACAATGCAGCAACTTTCCACTTGTAAAACGCATCGCACAGCGATCGCTCGTTCTCGAAAACAGAGAACGAGTCGGAGGCGCCAGGAGGAACCAGCACAAAATCCCCCCCCCCCCCCCCCCCCAAGCGCTGTGGTCCTCTGTATATTGAGGTGTTAACGGCAAATTAATGAGTGCTTACATATGTGAGGAAACCCATGTGTGCAAGGGGGGAACACTATATCCCATAGAGAGGGGACAGATGGAGATTAGTCCACACTTGCTGTGCACCGCCTTCTCCCGACGAGCCAGGGTTATAGCACCTCGATGCCCACGGCTATGAGAGTTTCCCATCGCTCGTGCGATCCATCAACCCTCGCCTCGGATTTCGCCCGTTCGCAGCCGCCACCGCCGTCCCGGCAATAGCAAGATAGGAGCGCCCAAAAAAAATCGACGAGTGGACAGAATACCGCCTCCTCCCCTTCGTCGTCGAGCTATTTCACCGCTCCTGTGCCCTCGGTGCAACGCTTGGCGGGCAGCGTCCACAGAGCGGAGGGAAAGCGCGCGTCTCGAGCGGATGCGGCACACGAGCGGGTCTGTGGCCGGTTGACGTGCAGATCAATGACCCCTTAGAACATTCAGATTATGCACTGATTCCTTCATGAACTTTGTTCGGACTGAGATCACGGGTTCCGTTTAGTTCCACTCGTGAGAGCTGACCAAAATCAGCTACACAGCGAACCATGGAGCTTAGAGAAAACTACTAGCGTGCCTCAAACTAATGCGTAATGTCCTGAAATGTTGTTTGCATGGTTTTACATTTGTTTGCGTATCTTGTCATTTATTCCAGTTGTTTCTATTTGCATCGTCATGAGACCAAGCATCCAATCAGAACTCTCACGGGGCGGAGCGTCGCGCAGTGTCATTAAGAGAACGGCCCACGGAGCTAGCTGTCGCAGAACCACAACTCAGAGCCCTATGAGGGACATTTTAATTCACAAACCAGGGGGCACTGCACTTACCCCACACGCCACGCTTGGCTTTAATTCGTGATTTTTTTCAATGTTCGCATAAATCGGGCTGTGCTGTAACCGGTGACACCGACAACTACGGAAAATATTTCGTATCCA